AATAAAAATTGTATGTTGTCATGGCGAGATAGACTATCTTGACAAGTCGACATAGTAAAAATTGTATGTTGTCATGGCGAGATAGATTATCTTGACAAGTCCGAGATAGATTATCTTGACAAGTCGACATAGTAAAAATTGTATGTTGTCATGGCGAGATAGATTATCTTGACAAGTCGACATAGTAAAAGTTGTATGTTGTCATGGCGAGATAGATTATCTTGACAAGTCGACATAATAAAAATTGTATGTTGTCATGGCGAGATAGATTATCTTGACAAGTCGACACAATAAATATTGTATGTTGTCATGGTGAGATAAATTATCTTGACAAGTCGACATAGTAAAAATGTTATGTTGTCTTGGCGAGATAGGTTATCTTGACAAGTCGACATAATAAAAGTTATGTTGTCATGACAAGATACAATTTGTCGACTTGTCAAGATAATCTATCTCGCTATGTCGACATGATATGTATATTATGTCGACTTGACAACATAATTATCTCGTCAAGTCGAATGGCACTTAGGTGCTTCCGTACAAAACAACAGGTTTGTTGTTTAAAAAATTCAAGTCAAGCAAAAGCTTTTCTATTTCCTCACGTGTTTGGTTTTTATAACATCTTGGAAACAATTTTCTGCCATTATCATTGTCTCTCTTCCTTTTTATTGCTCCCTCGGAGAAAAATGAAATACTTGCTATAGGTAGTGGTTTGATTTTCTCAACAAAATCTACATTCCATTTGCATCCTTCATCGGTACACGATACATTGGTATACCCGCAGCCTTACTGCTGCCTCTATTTTAAATAGGATTGCACCAATATGGCTGCACGACTCCCCTAATCTGGATTATAAAAAAATAGATGAAATGCAGTTTTAAATCTTCATATTTTAATATACCCACTGAAGACCCATATATAATTTATTGTTTGTGTTACATTAAGGATTTTAAATTACAGTACTTTTTGTTAAGGTTGATTTATTATTTTTATTTTTTATGCTAGACTACAGTAAACAATTTTACTGATTTTTTAAATTTTATTTTCCATGGATAATATTTTTTTATTTAACAGTAATTTTTTCATTGGTAAGGCAGGGATGTGGAATTAGCAATTAATGTAATTTTATTTGGTCTTGGGTTATATTAGCATATAAGGTCAAAAACCATATTCAAAGCATCAGCATTATCAAACCATATAGAAAAAAGATGTTTGAATAAATGCTGACGTATATAGGCTAAATAAAGAGTCAATTGTAACTAACCCTGCCATACAAGTGCAATGAGCAGCAATAATACAGTAGTATCATTTGCCTTGTTAATGGTAATCAGGTAGATGCGGATCCAGGGTTGCCATTTGGCCTTTTTGACGGCCAGATTCCTCAAATCTGGCCGTATAAAAATTTGCCTGGCCGTAGCATTTGAAAAGTCACGGCCAAACTATATTTGGCCGAATTTGGCCGAATTTTTGAAAAGTTTACATTTTTTTTTTTCAATATAGGCCTAATATAACGTAGACTTGTTTTGGATATTTTGTTTTTGTTAGCTTAAATTCTATATTTGATTCTAATCTTGTACTTGTTTTTACCTGCACTAAACACTTAATATATGGTTCCCGATTCAGTCGATTTGACGTAAGAGAGTTTATTTAAAAGGTAACAGTTACACTTAATAATTTAAATTGTTCGGATGAAATATATTGTTTATGAAGTTTATCCTCGTTTAAGCTTTATGAAGACAGTTCCATCTTACTAGTGGAGGTTCTATCTCTTTTGAATTTCTTTATATATATATATAATGCCTGTTTTGTTTCGGTTCCAGAGCTGAGACACGTTTACTTCTAGACTAGTCCTCATCAAAGCCCTGTTTTGTATTGTACATTTTTGGCTTTTGGATGAAATAAATGCTATGTTTGTTGTATAAAATAATATCATAATGCAGATTATCGACGTACTCTAAACACACGTGAAGTGGTGAACTGCGCTTCAGCGTACGTGTTTGTACCTAGAAATAGCTAGTCGTCTATTTTAGCATCTGACCTACTTCTGTCTTTGCGATAATATAACAAAAATGGAAATAAAACAAGAAATCACAAACCTGGTGTCATCTTCGCTTTAAGAGTACCATGACAATAAATATGTGGAAACGTTTCTTTCCTATATTATACTCCAGTTATGCAACTAAAGAAATAGGCCTAGCAAGTGAGTGATTTTCTCGGGCTTATGAATATAACAGAAGCATGAAAAGGCTTTTAAAATGTACCTCATGCAATTATCAATGTATTGATAATTTTATATGGAAAATATAAATATGGAAATACATATTTCCTTTACAATATTATTATAACATGATCAGAACATTTATTGTAAATGGAAACGTAACAGACAAGAAAAAAACGTATGCGAAACTAATCTATTGACTATACTTATTCCATAGATTTTTATTTGATTCAAACATTAATAAAAATTATATCAATATATATATAGCAAGAAACAAAAAAACGTATGTCAAACTCGGTCAACTTCGTAACATCTGCGTTGTTTCTGTAAAAAAAGAAAAATAGCGCCAAGTTATACAGTAATATAATAACAATAACAAACTTTAATACTAATAAAAATAATTGTTAATAAACTAATGTTACAGTAATTTAAATGACAAATTGGCTGGTTTTTCCAGATACAATGTAAATAAATAAAAATAATAATATAACAATAATAATAATATATAACATCATATCATATTTTAGTATTTATTTGATTTGATTTGTTATGTAGTAGAAAGCATAGGATTCATAACAAAACGAAAATAAAAACCGTCCGATAATATTAATTGATAGTTTAGTAATTAGTATTAATTTTATTTGCTTTTAAGTAGCCTGTTGTTACTTATTAGAAATACAACAAATAAATAAAAAAAAGTATGATAAACCGATTGACGAACTTGCAATGATAATTAGGCCTAGTTATATTAAATTTAGCGTTTCGAAACTCCATTGGCGCTCCATATATTTGTTGAAAACAAACCGCGACCGAAATGAAGCGCGACCAAAACGAAGCGCGACCGAAATGATCTGTTTCTCCTGAAGGGGCAGTCCTCTAGGCCTAGTCCACATATCCTCATTTTCATTCTATATCGCTCTCTAGCTTCACAATCAAGATTACTGGTGTTATATGAATATGCCATTGAACAACTCTTTTAAATGTTCAATGGGATAATGAATGTAATAAAGTATCCTAGCGAAATGAAGGATGATATCGCGCAAGTGAAAATCGTCTGTTCGCGATCCATCGCGGGTTTTGTTTATTTTTGTCCTGCAATTGTTATTCCGGAAGTTGGATTTGACCTCTGACGTCATCTTCCGATGGAGAATAGGCCAAAAACAGTTCTCGTCCATGGCGCGCACCGCAAGTTTGGCACGCGACGATCAGGCCTGGCGACGACCAACTGTTTGAGTCCCAGACACTGCATAGAAATACAGCAAACGTGCAATATTTACGAACTTCAAAGTTACTAATATTTGTCTTTATCTCAACAACACCAAGATACATGACAATAACCTAATATACATTATTTACAAATTCTCCTACCTACCTCCAAACAACCTCCGAGCCTGTAGTCTGCACACACACCGTGGCAAAATTACATCATGGGCTGAACTGCGCCGCAAGAAACACGTGTGATTGGTCGGGGAAATATTGAAACTTTTTAAATTCGTAATGATAAAAATAATTTGTCATCTAATTCGTCGTGTTGACATCGGCCCGTCATTTCTCCCTGACTGACGAAGCGAATTCGTCAAATTACCAATGATCAATTTGTCAAACAGAACAATTTGTCTAACAATGAATTTAATTCGTAATGTAAAATAAATGATTCGTATTTCAACTTTTATAATTTGTAATGCTACATGTCGGCTTCGTCAGTTGACATTTATTTCGCATGACAACATTTTTTAAACCAATTTGACGACTTTTTTCATGACTTTGACAAAGTACTATTTTCAGTGTATGTGACACATCCATCCATTAGGCCCTGTAAAAAAATTATTAGTTTATCACCCCCTCCCTCATCACTTTTGGATAAATTCTGATTTTTTTTTTCAATTAACATATAGGCCTATTTTTATCTCAAAAAGTCGTTTTTCCATCTTTTTTCACTTGAAACATCAGGATTTCTTGCAAATATGTTTACTGGTACAACAAAAACATCTTTTTTAATATAAATTTAATTCCATTTTTTATGACTTTTTATAAATTTGTCCTTAACTTTTGATTTACTTGCGAACATTGGTAAAATAAATATAATAAAAAAAACCTCTCCCTTCCTCATCAGTTTTTATTCTTTGATAGGGTGATAAACTAATAATTTTTTTTATGGGGCCTTAACATGTTCAAAAAAATGTCGGCGAATTCGCTGTCAGGAAATTTCTGTCGGGAAATTGGCTGTCGGCGTAGGCCTACCGCCCTGTCGGCAAAACTGGCATTCGGCGAAATGTGGTGTAGGCAAAATCTCGTGTTGGCGAATGCTATTTCGGTCGATAGTATAAAATGTCTGTCGGAACGTCAGGCCACGAAAATTAATCATCTAAATATGCCACCTGTGGCACATCCATCCTTTAAAATGTTCACAAAAAATGTCGGCGAATTGTCTGTCGGCAAACTGGCATTCGGCGAAATGGTATTTCGGTCGAGTCTGTAGGCCAAATGTCTGTTGGCCAAATGTCTGTCGGTGAAACGTCCGGCCACGCCTGCGTACTACGGTTCCCGCGAAAGTTTTGCTTTCTAGGTAGACACCCAAAAATAACCTCTGAGGCGTTTTTTGCGATCAAATTCTTCTTTTTCTTTCTTTCTTTTTTTTTCTTCTGTTCTTTTACTTAAAAAAAAGGGGGTGGGAGCAGCGGTCACTGTCCCCTACTAAATTCCCTGATACCCGACTGCCGTATATATTAATTACCAAAATGCTTGTTAAGTCCACGGCAGTCGTGAGGCGTACGTAGCATTATTTCAGCATTAATGCAAATTTCTTTTGTTCATGCATGGCCACTAGAGGGACGGTTACGTTACCACCACGCAGCTAGGCTAGAAAATGGCAACGTCTTTGCAACAGCAGCAAACAAATCCTTCACATTTGCTTCCGTTAGGTACGTAGTCATTTGTTTTGTATGGCATAAATTTTGTTCGCACGTTAGTGTTCCACCCTAATCTTAACATTAAGATAGCGAGACACAAGCCTACTAGTAGTACTACTAGGCCTCGCCTTTGCCTAACAGCGAACTCGTACACATGCCAACTTGTACACACAACTTGTACACAAATTTTACTTAACTCGTACACAGAATTTTGGGCGAGCCCGTACACAAGTTTTGTGAAGGATTTACTTTTTGTGTTTTAAACTTTATGCAAAAATGTATTGTATTTTGATAATAGTCATACTGTCTATTATTATCAAAAGTAGTGGATATATTTACATGAAACAATGCATGTGCAGTCATCAGGGGTCCCATTCGCAGGAGATTTTTTTGACGGAAACCTTTGGCCGCCTGCAAATACAATGCGGGTCAAGTTGCAGCCAATACGCATCTACTGTACTTATAATATCAAATAATTGACATTCAGTGATCAGAAAACAGTTAAATTGCTAGTTATTGCGAAAAATACGTGTTTTTCGCATGTATAGTTTCCCTTTTAGTTCAATTTATAAACCAATTTTTTATTGTAATTGTTTGTGTTAATTATTAAAATTAATATTCATGAGGTGATAATACAGATAGAAATATACGCCCTCAGTCGGCCAGTGCTATCAGTAGATCAGTGATCAAGTTTTATTATGTAATGCATTAATTAGGTAAGATGAATGGCAACACAAATCACAAATAAACAATTCTGAACCTATGTTTATAGCAATTAACAGTCAATTAACAATTTTATGTGCACTTCGTTGAGTTTTGCTTACTTGAAAGGAGTGACATACTTTGTTACTTCTTAATTATTCCTCTATGACAAAACTATTTAATTTTCTTAGTAAAAATAAAATACCCAAGGATTTGAACGGAATACCCAAGAACCCTAGACCAAGTCAAAATACCCAAGATCTTGGGTAACTACCTAAGCAGTGGTCACACTGGCAAAGATGTGTATAAGAGACAGCTGTATACGAGTTTGACAGAAAATAAAAATAAACGATCAAACTAACAATATATAGCAATTCAAATTCTCATTTTCTGTAGAATAGGTTTATTACCGTTCACGTGGCAGTATATAACGGCCTATCTTGATTGATGATATGAAACACAGACATGAAGGTCATGGTTGAATGCATTTCAGCGGACACGTCAATGCGTTACAGATCCACAATTAACGCATTACATTACTGAGACACGACGGGAAAAACCAACAAATCAAAATCAAGATACATCGATTTTTAACGGAATTCGGATAATTGCCGTACTAAAAGTTGGTTTCTATTGATTATTAAGTAGTTCTCTACTCTCGTGTGATAATATTTTTATCATTTTTGCACCCGTGTGGTCGCGAGTGGTCCCGTGTGGTATTTAGTAGGACCCGTCATCAGGGGTCCATTCGCAGGAGATTTTTTTGACGGAAACCTTTGGCCGCCTGCAAATACAATGCGGGTCACGTTGCAGCCAGTACGCATCTACTGTACTTATAATATCAAATAATTGACATTCAGTGATCAGAAAACAGTTAAATTGCTAGTTATTGCTTTCATTTTATTTACACATTGTAAATTAATACCATAAAATTACATAAATTCTGGAATCTACTACTTTGTACTCTGCCTAGTCTAATATTATACATTATTCATTTATTTGCACTTAGAGGCTTACATCAATATCATTAATTACATCAAGTTACACTTTTTCTGGCATCTGTAAACTATAAACAGTGATGGTAGGGATTGGAATAAACCTATTTGTGATTGTTTACGATTGTTTTTTAACATCCTGAGACATGTTTTTACCTAGTAGGCCTAGGCTTGGGCTGATCTTCAAAATAATGTATTTAAATTTTCAAAAATTTATGGCAAGAATTTTTTTCATGCGGTAGAAAAACGTAGGCTTACGGTGGCACAGTAGATCGTCGCTAAAAATGGTAGAATACCGCAAGTAGCGGTAGACTTGGGACCTCTGAGTCATAACTTGCATATCGGTCATGTGAATATGTGCAGTCATAACTTGCATAATGGTCACGTGAATTTATTGTTTCTGTTAAATGTACGTTGGGTTCAACTTTCAGCACTTGAAATTAGCGTTGTCCCAAGTTTTGTTGGCAAGTTACCATGAATCCATGGTGTATGCAAATTAAATCCCCCAAGTAAGCGTTTAGTATGTAAAATCACATTAACTTGATCAAACATTTTTTTATATAAACAAAGGAGTTTCTACTCTTTAAAAAGCCAATTATTGCACACGGTCCCTGTATTTGTTGAATGAATTTTTGTAAACAGTTTACAACAGGGTTTAATTATAATTTATGAAACGTAATTAAATTTGCTACTACTACATTTGTATGTACAGTATTTCAATCATTAAATAGATTTGTTATTGTCTTACTTTATTTGTAATGATTAAATATTACACACATTATATTTAATGATTATATATACACACATTCTTTACTGCGTGCTTCATAGCAAGTGTGGATCACATGCTCTCTAAACGTGGTCTTTCTCAGATGTTCTTCACGCTTGATGCTCGACCCGACTAACAATGTTTTTTTAGTGACGCTGTCAGTAAATGTGTTTGAATGAAAACATTAAAATGTTATTTACTTTGTGATGATTGACTGTACATACAACAATACAGGCGTAGGCCTAGAAGAATATCGTTTTGATTTTGAGGTAATTGAGTGCTAATTTTAGCAGGGACCTTCATGTTTTGGTGTACAGTAGGCCTAGTATTGTAATTCGTCAAGTGTGTTTATTCAACAAATGATGTGAGTAAAATGAAAAGAACAGATATATTTTCAGTGCATAATATCACTTTTATTTGAAAATTTACACAATGATTTAATAATTTATTTAAACTACATACTATTGTAGGAAATTAAATTATGTTTGAAATAAAAACAAAATTATAATTAAATCAGTGCCGTGGTAAGCTTGGGCACCACGGCTTGGGCCGACGCTATTTCGATCGAGTGAACGATGTAAGTTATTTAAGTATGACTGCGCATGCATTATTTATTTCATATAGATTTATCGTTTACTGATTTGTTTACGGCAGGCCTCAAATTTTACCACGGCCATTGCCGACGGTGTCCTAACAGTTGGCCTTGGTGCCCCTGAAAATGAAGCATGAAGACGGGCACTACTTACTTACCTGCCCTTTTGCAGCCTAGGCCTCAGTGCCCTCACAACGCTTAATATAGATCGCTTGACACTTAAAATAAATCTAAATAAGAACATTCAAATCTTGAAAGAAAACACGAAAGCCAAAAACGTAGGTCGTCTAAGCTAGCCTAGGCCTAGATAAGGTTGCAGTGACAGAACATGAGAGAATTACCATATGTGTTGATACGAACTGATTGCGGTTACTGTTGTGTGCGCATGCGTCTGACTCGAGCGGTAATTGCGTACGTATTTTCAATGGTTGGAGTTGAAGTTGTAAACATGTTCTTGCTGTGCAGCTAGCTTTGGGCGAGCTGACGTCATCATAACTCAAGCGTGTGAAATTAACCTACTGTAATTGGTTGACACTTGGCTAATCTAGTTGATGACGGCCAGTTTAGAGGTGTGGCCTCTCCGATGACAGCGCATTGAGCAACAACAGCAGGTATTAAACTTTGACTGTTTTGTTTACGATCGCCGACCACCCGCAAAAAACTAAAATTAATCTTAATACTCTAAATAAAGTCATTTTACCATTGACAACGATAGCTTGGCTAGGCATAGCCTGGCTACGAATCAAGGCAATTGCGAAAGATTAGTACTGAGACTAAATCCATTTGGCCTTGCCCATAAAATCCCCAAATTTGAGGCCTGTTACGTTCACGTAAATATATCCACTTCCATTATTAAAACCCATTATGATTATTTGAACATGTGGTACATAATAGATTTAGAAATTTATGATCGTCGGCGACACGGGACGTCAAAACCACTAATCTCTACTATAATAGCTGGATTGCTCATCGGCCAGTCCTTGTACAAAAAAAAGTGAGGCCACCAACGCCATGTTGGAGGGTCTATGTGACGTACCACCTTAGACAAGTTTCTTTGGCATTTGTTTAAATTATTGTTAAAAATAATAATTCATGCAATACTATTCTATAATATTTATAAATTTTAATTTAACGTAAGAATGTTTTTCAAACCATCTAACCACTCGACGCTACTGTTCGTACAGTTTACAAAAGCGCAAGAGAAGTTGCGTTGTTACAGTGACGTCGATCACTAACAACGCAAATAACTTCGTTTGCACTTTTTAAATTTCATAAACAGCTGCATCGAATGCTTAGATGATTTGAAAATTAATCATGTTAAATTTAAATTTATTGTAGTTATTGCAAGAATCGTTATTTTTATCAAAAACGAATGGCAAAAGAAAGCGATACGTCACTTGTAGGCCCTCCAACATGGCGTCGGTGGCCTCACTGAAACCAGCCAATGAGCAATTGAGCTATTATAGTGGAGATGAGCAGTCAAAACCAGGGCTCCCAAGTCTCCCGGAACACCCGGGAGTCTCCCGGATTTTTGATCGATCTCCCGGGCTCCCGGAAACCCAACATTTTCTCCCGGATTTATAATTTCTCCCGGATTCCTCCCGAAATCGTTGTTTTTGTCCAAGCTCGATCAGAACTGCGCCTCTACAGCGATATAAGCAATCGAACCCGACGTTTATGAGTCCGAGATAAAGTTTATCCCGCATGGTTTATTGTACTTACCAAAGCAACACAAAATTACAATGGCCAGTTCGCATCGTGGCGAATCTCTTTGTTTTAATAATAAACAGGATTATAACTGTCTCTTATACCCATCTTCCCATGCCTCCATCACTAATGTTTTGATGAAATCTCCCCCACCCACCCAGAGGTTCGTCCGTCCGTCTATTACATGCCTCCATCACATGCTGTATATGGGTATAGACGGTCAGTCCATCACATATTGTTATGTCCTTTT